ATGGATTCAACTTGTTACACCCTGCTGTACTACACAATATCACGATCAGTTGTTCACTTGAGAGCAAAATCATAGAGTTGCAGCAGACAGATGTAGGAATAAGTCACATCAAGAGAAAAATGCAAGAGCAAGAGACCAAGCATTTCAGATTGGATGAAAGAGGTGTGTTATGGTTTGAGGACTGACTTGTGGTACCAAAAGATCATGAGCCGAGGAACCAAATTTTAGATGAAGCTCACTCGTCTAAATTGTCTATCCATCCGGGTAGTAGTAAGATGTACCAAGATTTGAAAACCCGTTTTTGGTGGACTAAGATGAAGAAAGAGATCGCAACCTATGTTGCTAGGTGTGATAACTGCAGTAGAGTAAAAGCTGTTCATATGAAATCTGCCGGATTACTTCAGCCATTGCCTATCCTAGGTTGGAAATGGGAAGAAATCAGTATGGACTTTATCACAGGCCTTCCAATGACACCATAAGGTCACAATTCAATATGGGTTATTGTTGATCGACTCACCAAGTCAGCACATTTTATACCCGTGACACAAGGTATATAGTTGGGAAGTACGCTGAGATATATGTTTCCCAGATCGTGAGACTACATAGAGTACCTAGGACTATAATCTCAGATCGAGGACCACAGTTCATAGCTCGTTTCTAGGAGCACTTACACCAGGCTTTGGGAACCAAACTAATCAGAAGTTCGGCATACCATCCACAAACTTCAGGACAGACAGAGCGAGTAAACCAAATCCTAAAGGATTTGCTTAGAGCTTGTGTTATATCTTTAAAAGGTTCATGGGAGAAATGGTTACCTTTAGCTGAGTTCTCCTATAACAACAGTTATCAAACGAGTATCAAGATGGCTCCATTTGAAGCATTGTATGACAGAAAATGTAGAACTCCATTGAATTGGATTGAGCCCAGTGAAAGGAGATACTTTGGTATTGACTTTGTCAATGAAGCTGAAGAGCAAGTACGTGTCATCCAACAGCATATGAAGGCAGCTCAATCGAGACAAAAGAGTTATGCTGATAGAAGAAGAAGACCACTGACTTTTGAAGTGGGTGACTATGTATACTTGAAAGTATCGCCCATGAAAGGTGTGAAGAGATTTGGGATGAAAAAGAAGCTTTCACCAAGATATGTGGGGCCATACAAGATTGTGGAACGGAAAGGGAATGTTGCTTATAAGTTACAACTTCCACCAGAAATGAGTGCAATCTTTGATGTCTTCCATGTTTCCCAGTTGAAGAAATGTCTTTGAGTACCTGAAGAAGCTATTGCACCCACCAACGTGCAGCTTCAATCGGATTTGACCTATGAAGAAAAGCCAATTCGAGTATTAGAGGAGTTGGAAAGAGTAACATGGAGTAAGATTATTAAGTTCTATAAAGTGGTGTGGAACAATCATAGTGAACAAGATGCTACGTGGGAAAGAGAAGATTATTTACGAGAAGTTTATCCCGCCTTTTTCCAAGAATGGTAGGTCTTGCAAATCTCGGGACGAGATTTTTATAAGGGGGAGGGGTTGTAACACCCTAGGTGTTAGCCTTGCATAACTTGACTTGCATAACATGAGCATGAGCGTCAAGCATTCATAAACAAGCATTTACAATTGAAACATTGGATTGAAACATCTGCAACATTTGCTTGTTATCGCATGTTTCCTTGAACGTATGCAACTTTTCCCATTATTTCATGTCTCCATGTGTATATGCATATGATCATAAGAGTATACATGTAGATGGTCGGTATGAGTCACAAAAATATATTGGCAATACTTAGGTTAGCAAATGGAACATGGTTCATGAATGTCATTTCCCATGATCAAGCCCTTAAGTCATGTTTCATGTGATTACACTAAATAGCTCTATGAGTGACTAATACATGAAATGATTGTATGACCTTGCAATTAGCCTAAACATGTTTAGAGTATCATTATGAACAACTTTGATATTCATAGCTAGGGCTAAATAGATCACTAAGCCATAGTTCTTGTTCAAGTCATCATTTGAATGTAGTTTGTTTGACCAAGTTTGAACTATGTGTTAGAGACCTTGCATGGAGGTGGTCACTAAAGCAAAGTTGTAGATAACTTCATCATATGTCTTGTGTTAAAATTTCAGGACCATAGGTCAAACAGTTCAGCTGTTTAAAGTTAGCCTTTCCGAATTTGCTTGTTCTCTGGAATTTCTGGACAGCGCTGGATTGATTATCTGTTTTGGTTAAGATAAATTGTGAATTAGCTTTTGTTGATTAAATAAGGGTTGTAGACAATTTTATAAGCTTTCCAGAAAGTCTAATATCATAGCATTTGGATAAGTAGAACTTTAGTTATAAGTAAAACAAGCAGCTCCTGTTTTGTGTGTAGTGGATGAATTGTAAATGTGTTTGATTAAGTAATCAAGAAGAGATATGCATCTACTCGGTAAAATATGATGCATTTGTTAACACTATGCTGTTAAGACTACTTATACGAATGCATTCATCCCGTGTCATCATTTTATACTTGTACGCATGTATGCATTCGCAATATCTTATGCCATACTCATGCATCTAGGATCGGAGGAAGAAATAACGTTGCTGGAATTCGACGAAGTAGAGGAAGGGGACCAGCAGGAGAATCCTCAAGTCGCAGCTCCCGAAGACGAGGAGCAGAATCCTGAAGAGCTTTCGGAGTGCCCTGATCACCGCCCTACTTCCTTTCTGCGAGGCAAGCCCCGGAGCATTCTAAGTCTCCCAATATTTTACAAATGATTACTTAAGTACTTATGATTGATGCATTAGGTTATAAGAGTTGAATGGAACCACTTGATGCATATAAATTCCTTGTCCAGCTATTACACCTTCAACCGGTATAGGTCCAGGATCGAATATATGCTTAGCTATGCTTAGACCGGTAGAAGTCGGGTGATTTCCTGTCACTTGCGAGATATAGGTGGATACCGGAGCACGGTTGGCTATATTTGCTATCGTGGAAAAGAACCATGGGGTAAGGTAAATGGAGACCGGGCGGGATGTCGATAGAGAATCAACAAGACATGGAGGTCTTGGGTGTGGATCTATCCCCGTCTGTGTCGATTAAGGACCGTACCGTTGTTGGTGCTTCTGACAAGACTGAACGCATGCCTATCACTTAGCTGGCCGGATAACTCATTCCGACCGCGAAGCCGAGTAGCTCAACTCAGGCCGGGACCCGTTCTGTTGTGCGCTCCTTGCGGGGGGCGATCAGACTGAGCCCAAGGGCAGGCTAGGCCTGAACGTCCTGGCATCTGGTGTCCCAGATTGTGCGGCGCGGTACGGACCCACGAAATGTGTACCTGAGTTGTACCAAAGGTGACCTAAGGCTGCCTTCGCGCGGTATGCCTGGGTTTGTGTTAGGAATAAATTCCCAGTTGGTTGAAATCGATTCGAATCGCCGTCTCTCCCGGATAGTGAGAAACTTGGCTAGTCCCAACATCGTAGTAACTGTGCTATGGAACATGATAGTTCGGATGAATATGGAATTGCAATACCTACTATGGTTACTATTGTATGCTTTTAAATGGATATACCACATGTTTGGCACAGGATAGTTGCTAATCTAGAGACGGATAGTTATAATTAACCTGATATTGGAACCATAATTATATAGCTAAGTTAATCGCTTTTATGCAAAATGTTGTCAAGCTATCCCCACTTATACAGCCTTGCATAATCCTTGGAGTCATTTTTATTTCTGGTTTATGACGGGTAAGTCTAGCTGAGTACCTTCTCGTACTCAGGGTTTTATTTCCCATGTTGCAGATGGCACTGTGTATCATGGTTATTGCAAGAGTTGCTTCCATCCCGCTGTGGATGAGGAGTAAGCCTTGGGCATGCTTCTTATTAATCCTTCTACATGCTTTTGTGGACCGTGATCGTATCTTGGCACTGTACTAAACTATGTTGGAAACTTTACTTTTAAATTTAATTTGCTTCCGCTTTTATCTATCAAACTCGATTTGTAATAACTTTTATTCATACTCTGATGATGAAAATGTATCTGTGAACTTTATGTAATATGTGGCATGTATGTTGAATCATGTACGATCTTGGTTGTTGTAAATCGTTTATCGATACCCGTCGTGGTACTCGACGGACTACCGGGTTTATATGGGTTCAAGTATGACAGTGCGACCGCTTGCGGGACGCCATTGTACTTGTACTCTTATAAATTGGTCGGTTCTGCGATAGTTTAGGCATCCTTCGTTAATTTCTTTGCATGAGTGTTCAAATGTTTCAATTGATGTGTGTTTGCTTGTTCGAATTCGTTTCATGTACCGTGAGCATTTGACATGAACTCTTTGTTCTTTGTGTACTGCATCATAATAAACTTCTGCCCGGTTTCCTTCTTTTATGTTATTTATTTACTCATATTTGCGTAAAAAGGCAACAACAGAGGATTGTACATTTGTTCCTTCTCAAGGGTCATGCTATTTTCTTGATCTGTATGTTTTTTTCTTGATCTATTCCATATTTATCAACATTGATATTCCTCCATGGAAGCTTGACATTATTGTACTTGACAACAGGTGAAGAAGCCTTATAAGGGTGGCAAGCCTAAATTTGACTATCCAGTGAGTTGCAGGCTTTCAGGTATTGAACTGTAAATCTGTAATCAAGTCTTGCTTTCGATTAATTTGTCACCTGCTCTTTGTCTTGGGCTCAGTCTATTATTAGGCGCTAGCCGTGGTTGTATGGTACAAAAAAAACAGAAGATGAGATACGGTTGGGCCTTTGAAGCCTTCACTGGGTGCTATTAATTTTTGGAGTATATTTCAATTGCAGAATATCACTTTCAGTTACTGCTGGCTTCAGTTCATTAATTGTAGTCAGCATAATTTCTTATCAGACATGAACCTAAACTTGATCAGAAATAATCTGTTGACATAGCTGAATCTCTCTGGTGTTGTTGCTGTTACTAAACCACTAAAATTTGTGCTATGCATGTGTCGTTGCTGTTACTAAAGTATCCATTAATTTTTAAGCTGAAATCTTTGTTTTTGCTCCATCTCCATCTCCAATTCATGCTGTTTCAGCTGCAATTTACGTTGCAGATCAGCGCGTTCTCCCTTCAGAAAATCATCATTTTCCATTTGCTTGTGCTTTATATCATCAGTCAAAGCCTTTTCCTTACGCTCAAGACTCTCCAGCTGGTCCTTGTATTTTTCATCCATTTCGAGCTTCACATCATTTAACCTTTTTTCTTCATTGTCACGCCACCGTTCTAAATTCATCCTCTCAATTTTCAGCTTTTTGTCCTCCTCTACTAGGAGGGCTCTTTTTTTGTCTAGCTGTTCCCACTCTTCTTCAAATTTCTGCCGTTGCTTCTTCAAATCCTCCATCTCCTCAGATAGGGAGTTGCTTCGCATTCTGTATTCCTCAATCTCCTTAAGTTTTGCTGTCAGCAAGCTATGCTCCTACCTCTCTTGCTCTGTGAGTTTCAGATTATTCTGCTCTTCTGATATTCTTTCCTTTTCAGCTTCTAATGCTGATTTGATCCTTTCCAGCTCCATTTTGTATGTCTCCAATTGCTCTCTTTCATGATTCACTTGCTGCTTTTCTTCCAGTAATCTTTTTTCATCATTTTTCAATGATTCGTCCCACCTCTTCGGAGCCTTGGATTTGGCATCAATGATTCAGTTGCTGTTTTGTAGAATGAGCAGCACTAAACATTCCGACGAACAGTCCAGCGAGAGCACAACTTCCAGTGATGGCCCCAAGAAGAAACTCAAGGCAAACATAGTCAAGTTGGCGGGTCTTGGAGCTGCGCTTGCTGCTGTGGCTTGTTCCAGGCAAAGTCCTGTGCCTAATCCTCAGTGCCCATTCAAAGACATGACCGGGCGACAATGGGTGGAAGCAAATTTGCATAACGAACGTATGTGCTTCGACAACTTTCAGATGTGTCCTCACTCTTTCAAGAAGTTGCACAATGAGTTAGTGCAGTATCATGGGCTGGGTAGTTCACAAGACATGGAGTCGTATGAGTCACTAGCTATGTTCCTGTGGGTGTGTGCGACAAAGCAGGCAACTAGACAGATAACCCAAAGATTTGGGAGGGGTATGGGCACAGTTAGTCAGAAGATGGGTGAGGTTGCAGACGCCATGTACTCCTTTGCCCAGACGGTTGTTGCGGTAAAGGATCCGGAGTATAGAAAAATCCATCCTAGGTTCGACGAATTCAGACCCTACTTTGATGGGTGCATAGGGGCTTTGGATGGAACACACATCAAAGTGCAAGTTAGTCGCAAGTCACAGTTGGACTTCATGAATAGAAAAGGAGAAGTTACCATGAATGTGTTAGGGATAGTGGACATGGACGGGCTTTTCACATATGTTGGTGGGGATCAGCGGGGTCTTCTCATGACATGTCGGTTCTGACGTATTATATGGGGCGACCAGATTACCCGCATCCCCCAGCAGGTAATATTGCATTATCGTTGACTACGTTGTCAGTTTGTAAGAGTACCTTTGTGAGTAATGGGTGAAATGACTTGATGAATTGCAGGACGATACTACCTGGTGGACTCTGGATACGTCGTGCGCGCAGGATATTTGGGGCCATATCGAAATGCAAGATACCATCTGGATGACTTCAGAGCCAGAGAGGTGGATGGATATATGGAGAAATTCAACTACCAACATTCAAGGCTTAGCAATGTTGTGGAACAGTCGTTTGGGAAGCTGAAAGCTCGGTGGCACATTCTGTCCGAAGTCCCAAATTATGTGAGACCTAAGCAAGTGAACGTGGTAATTGCATGTTTTGCTCTACACAATTTTGTGGAGGGCAAAAACGGACGGAGGGCTGCGGCGAGGAATCTTCATAGGGGTGTAGATTACAACCTGTCAGCATGGGCGGCATCAGTTGAAAGTGAAGATATGTCACAAGTGCGAGATTGGATCGCTATGGGACTATGGGCTATGTAGTGCACAGGTATGTACACTGAGGCTGCTGTACCTCTTTGTTATGCTATGTTGTCTCCAAGTGGCCTGAGACGCATGCATGTGATTACAGTACTAACTGACACCTCTTTGTTTGTTGAATTTTAGATCTTGCTGAGCAATTTGCTCTTTTGCGTGGGCTTTTCTTTCCAGTTGCGTGTAACCGCAATACCATTTCTTTGTTGTTAATAATGTGGGCAAACTAAGTGTCTCATTAGCACACATCTAAAACTCAGAGATCCAGCTCTTGTTAAAACAAGTAATGATGTAAGCGAAGCGTATTCTTGGTAGAATTAAAACAAAAGCTTTATTTTTTCAATTGGAGACAGTCGGTTTGCCTATGTAGCTCAAGCATAGTTATAGATCGAAATTTGGGAAATATATCTACCATGAATTCCCTAGTCCGCTTCTCTCTAGAGGGCACGAGGCTCTTCTTGTGGCGTGCCTAGCCTGAGCTAGCCCAGCTTCCCGATTTCTGCAATGGGAAAGGCCATGGTCTCTGCTTTGTTTTCACACCTTTCATCGCTTATGCTACAAATAAACTGATGTGCCTTTCTGTTTCCCTCTTTTCTTGACTGCAGGTCATCCCAAAATCCTTGATGCCCAGAGAGGTGAGCCTCTTCTACGTCCCTGGAGACTTTGCATGCATTTGATTGTTGCTTTGTTGTTTCTTCTTTGCTATCTTTGGAATGCATGTCTAGTCGCTTTCGTGATGTCAGCTCTGATTTTGTAAAGTCTCCATTTATGCCAATTTGCAATATGTTGTAGTTGTGCCATTAGTAGAGTACTAAATGTGTTGTAATGTTGTGGTATTTGAGAGGTTGTAGACTATAGATTGTTGTAATGTTGTTGTAATGGCTACTGTAGATGTAGAGGATCTGTAGACATTTGGAAATATTTGGTGATGACTAATTAACCATTGTAATGGGCGAGTTGGCTAGAAGAAGAAGATGCAGATGTCGGCTTTTATTTTATCGGGTTTGATATCGCACACAAGTTTGTGGCGCCATTTGTTGATCCCACTTGAATTTGAATTGAATTAGTTCTTTGTCGAAATTTGAATTGGATTAATCGCTTGCTTAATGTCTGTCTTTGGTGATGGGTTGCTTGTTCAATTTGATTTTGGTTCCTATAGCAGTAGGAGTAGCTCAGCCGACATCAGCCAAATGTGGAGCAGCTGGGCAAATAAATCCATAACACAAACCCAGGTATACTAGTGCAACAATAGCTTAGGTCACCTTTGGTACAATTCCAGAACACGTCGTGGGTTTGAGCTGAGCCACACACTTAGGGACCAACCTGGAAGCCGGGATGTTCAGACAATGATCTGCCCAAGGTCCTATCCGTGTCCCCGCACATATATCATCCCCTCCAGTGTGAGCGCCATACATCTCAAATTTTCAGCCCGAATTGAGTTACTCGGCTTTGCGGTCAGAACGACTTATCCGGCCAGCTATGTGAAAGGTTGTGTTCAATCTCGACCAAGCTCCAACAATGGTACGGTCCTTAACTGACACAGACGGGATCAACATAGCCAAACCTATCACCATTTGCATATAAGATCCCACCCGGTCTCCATTTATATATCATCACATGGTTATTTCCAAGATAGCAAATATAGCCAATCGTGACCAGATAATCACCTATATCTCGCAAGTGACAGGAAATCACCCGACTTCTACCGGTCTAAGTATGGCTAAGCATAAATCGACTTACACATACTAGTAAGGGTACATGTATTTATATATATATAGTGGACAAGGTAGGGAATATGCATCAATAGTTTCATCCAACTCTTATCAACCTAATGCATCATACAAAAAGTTATACTCAAGTGTATTTGTAAAAAGAGAGGGTAGGAGGCTTAGATTGCTCCAGGGCTTACCTGAGATCTTACACAAAGTCAGTTCAGTTAGCTTGCACCGTCTTGGAAAACATCTCCACTCCAAGCATGCACTCCAGGGGTCCTTTCATCATTAGGATAGATCCACCAAACACCATCTTCGTGTTCGGCTCCAACATCATGTCATTCACGTGGTTCATCTAGCATACCTAGATGAGATACACAATGCAGATGTATAAATGCAAATGGCAACATGGGATGCATCACATAAAAGCATTCAAGTCAGGCACAAGGTTACACGAGAAGGCATAAGCACCTAGAGTTGTTTAACTAAACATCACACAATCTATTAACTTGAGATAAGAAGCACATCAAGCGTGGCACACAAGTTAACTTAAGTTTAGCTATTGCAAGCATTCATCAATCAAGAACTAATTAAACATGTTTAACCAAAATAAGAGAAAGTTAAAAGCAATCAACTTACGCACAAGCACAAAATCTGGACAGCAGCAAAGAAAGCACTTGTTTCAACCATAACTGAAGATATACACATTCAAAAAGGGTGGTATAAGACTTTCTAGAAAGATCAAGAAATTACCTACAACTTTCTTCTATCATCTAGAGCTCATTCATTGGTTAACAAGGCTAAACATTACGAAGAAGCAATTCTGTCCAAACTTGGATAGAATCTGACATTACACTTTAAACAGCTATATCTGCAGTTCTAGACGTCCAACAAACATGCTTCTTAACTTTCAAGAAATCTTATTAAGTTATCTATAACTTGAAGATGATTCAACAGTTAATAAGACCAACAACGCGAAGAAGCAAATCTGTCCAGACTTGGACCAATTCTAGCATTAAGCTTTTAACATCTATATCTTGAGTTCTAGACCACCAAAAGGGGTGTTCCTTAACATTTTAGAAAGCTTGAGTAAAGTACTACAAATCTTTATTTATCGACAAGAGGTGATTCTACAGCTATCATAGTCAAAAAGCATGACATTGCAGATCAGTCAAGAACACAAATAAAACCTGACAAGGACTTTGTAAAATCTATAACTCTCGGACCTATTGTCCTATAACTCTCATGTAACTTTAGGACAAACAAGATGGGGTAGTTATGTACAACTTTTGTATTCAATATATTCACAGAAAACATCATTATCACCACGAAAATATCACTACAACAAAAACTATACAAGCAGCCATTTTTAGCATACGTGTAACCAAGTCCTTCACTTGGTTCAACAACAAGATCACATATGTACAATTAATTAAATGGCTCTCAAACGACTACTAATATAATAAATTAGCATTATTCATAGCTAACATGAAAATCATATTAACATATCTTCAAAAGATGGAGGTTACAAAGTGATGCTTATCTCGCATTTCCATTTACTGGACACTCGTTTACCGAGTAGCAAACATGAGCAACACATAAAGAAAGGTAACCTGCCCCAAGGTAATTTAGGAGCTGGTCTTCACCACACACAAACATCCTCAACATCCACACAACGATCATCTCATCCAAAGTAGAGCTAAAGCAAAGATTAT